ATCAACTGTTTCTGATCCTTTCCACACCTTTTCTTTCACAATGCAATCACATTACCAGTACTAAAGTTTATCTTTAAATATCAAGGAATGTATTAGAGTTTATTTCTAAAATGAAATGAAAGGGCTATTTGACTTTCAAGAGCGATAAAAACTCTAATCCATCCCTTGAAATTTAAATTGCACTGCCCCCATTCAGTGCGCCATTTTCAAAGAGCACAAAAAAGCTTCAGATTGAAGATTCCATCTCATAAAATTGTCTATAAGAGAGAGAGAGAGTTTATTTCGAGAGAAAAATGAAATGAAAGGGCTATTTGACAAGAGCCCTTTCATTTCATTTTAGAAATAACCTCTCTTCCTCTCTTATAGATAATTTTCTCTCTTGAAAGTCAATAACCCTTTCATTTCATTTTAGAAATAACCTCTTTTTTCTCCTAAAAGACAATTTCTCTCTTGAAAAGGCTCTGCCAGACCCCTCAAGCTCTGCCATGTTGTATGGATCCATTAGAAAGCAAAATAAGCCCACTCAATAATTGATATATATTAAAACATCATAGCGATTCATCCAAATAAGAAATCCACGTGAGAGGCATTTTGAAAGTTTTAAGAAAATTCTTTCAAATTCCAGGATATTGGGTGTTCTTTTTCAGGAAACTCTATTTAAACGAGTGGAAGCACTGGCGGTTCTGTTTTTTTTTAAACTAACAATTCTCCTTGGATCAGATATAGACCAAAAACAAGCCTCATTATCTTCAGTATACAAGTGTCATTTCGGACCTTACAGCTTTCATAGAAATCGTTTGAGAACCCCTGGTCTACGCATTATACACATCAGGACCAACTTGACAACTTGACAAAAATTTGAGGGGGTTCGACCCCCCCCCCCTCCCCCCTGCGTACGCGCCTGCATGTGCATCCCTTCCTCCTTATTCCCTTATCCATCGTTACCGTCACTACCATTTGAGTAGGGCCGGCCCCCTCCTTAATAACGACTCCCAAGCCATCAAGAATGACCCCATAATTTATAGATTTCCATTCTGCCGGGCGCGGCCTTTTCAGAAGTGTTTCTACACTAACCTTTTCATGCACTCCAGCTTAACATAAACAAGCATGCTAAGATTGTTTTGAAAAGAAGCATAATTTCGACTCAGTTTCGCATAACCTAAAAGTAAGAATACGGCCAGTCAATCCTTCCCCCCCCCTCCCCTCAATGCATCCGCCTTCACGCACCCCCCTTTCCCTTGTCTTTCCCTTATTCGTCGTTACTGTCACTAATTTTTAGTGCCATTTCGTTGTCTTTCTTTCTCCCCGGCTCCTCTCTTCTTTTTCTTTCCTCTTTTTTGAACTCTCTCTCTTTTCTTTACTTTTTTGTTCTCTTTTCTTTTATCTTCTCCTTCCCCCCTTTTTTTTCGTTCTTTTTTTTCTTCCTCTTTTTTCCTTCTCAATTTTTTTCTTCGCCAATGGGGGGGGGGGGGGGGGCGGCCGTTTCGGCCCACCCGGCCTGGATCCGCCACTGGTAATAGACAAAAACTCTTCGGAATCAACTATTCAGAGCAATATTTTCTAGCTGCTGGACTGTAAGCATAACTTTTCATTTCATCACTGTCTTCTTGAAGGGTCACCATGGAAAGCGGTGCAACTAAAGTGCACGTAACATCAACATAACCATTGTCAACATATCGAGATGTAAGCAGTAGAGGGAATAGGGAGAAGGAAGGTAGAGAGAGGAAAAAAGAGATTGAAAGAACGAGAGAGAAATAGAAAGAGGGGAGGAAAGAGAAAAAGAGAGAGGGGGAGCTAGATAGGGGAAAATAGAGTGAGAGGGGAGAGGGCGTCTGGGGGGGGGGGGAGAGCGAGAGAGAGAGAGAGGGGGTGGGGGGAGAGGTTGAAAAAGAAACTAAAATCAAACTAAGAGCTGCACATCATCACAAAAAGTGATTGAAGTTTGAAGCCACGGAAATAATTTAACACAATGCATACATGTACTCCTGTTTATGAAATGCTCATTGTTTATTCGAAAAAAAATGGACCTTGCTCCCCAAACACTGATACGTTACACTGAGCATGCAAATACAGTACAGCCAACTTGGTGTAGTGTTTCAAGTAAATACTAAATATTCATCAAATCGTTAACTATGATCAAAATAATGCAACTCAATTCAACAATATATGGCTAAGAGGCTCTGTGCATATGGAAACAGCATCGATACTTTCTCTCCTTATTTTTGTCTTTGTTTTATTTGTTGATATAATTAAGTAAAATTCTTTACATTATCTTTTTCCATGTGTTTTACCTAACTACATCATGTACAATTACAGCCTCATGACCAATTTATTATATATTGTCTTACAGTCTATAGGTTACGATTTGTAATGTTTTAGAAAGCAAAGGACACAGCCTCAATTAAGTACAATAATATTCGAAGATAAAAATGTACAATATTTTGCTATCTAATACAAATGAATGATAAACAAACCACAAATATTCCCCACATATCTAAACAATTATAACATCTATGATACATGATTGAATAACATATCTTGAAAATTCCTCATGAATCCCAATTAACTAGAGCATTGAGTACTGGTATGGTAAAAAGTAATTTTGTAATGTCATCGCTTCATCAAATGGGTAAGAACACTAACCACATGAATAGAATTGCTTTTGAAGTTCTTTAAAGTTTGAAATATGTCCAGCCATTTTTCAGGTATGAAATATTTTTTTGATACCATGATGTGTATCCAACGTGTATGCAGTATTAGCTTTTCTTTTTGATTTTTAGAATGATGTAGTAATTTTGATATATATTTGAGGATTACAAAACGTTGTAACCAAATCATTTATTCCGAACAAATTCTACAGGACATTTTTGTTTTATTGTAAAATTACAAAACCAGTACTCGACGTAACCTTTGTAGGAATAAATCATTCATATAGAAATTGCTTCATAGTCGTAAGCATCATTATTCAACGGTAATCATGGAATGTGCTTTTGAGAAACATCAGAAATAAATGTAAAGAATAGCAATAGCAATATAAAGAAAAGTTCACCAATTACTGGTACAATCATGACAAATCTGATTACGATTACTATGAATACTAAGCGTTTGTACTGAATTTGAATTTTACAGCCCTCTCCCCTCTCATTCCAAAAGTGGAGTGAACTATTAAATGCTATTCAGTTCCTATTCATGCAAGAAAATCTGTGCAAAGAGTTTCTCAAATTCAATTCAAAGTCGTTAAAAATTTGTAGGCACAAGAATTTGAAACAATTCCACTTGAAGTATAAAGTAATCGGTGTAGATTAATCCAGGTTAAATACATGATATCCCTGAACCTGTGGACAGTTGAACTGTTCATCTTTCTTCCTTTCAAGAATCCTGATTCTAATCAGTCACATCCTTCTTCAATTCTCAGATTATTTGAATGATTATAAAAAGTGTGACACCCTTATGTCTTCCCCCGCACAGGAGTCAAAACTTCTTGTGTTTTAATTTTTCAACGTCTTTGCGTGTGAAAATGTCTAATTCCATCCTATGCGAAACAAACGACGACCAGTACAGTTAATAATGACAGTAACTAACCCAGGCTATTCTTACCAAATGTTAACATCAGCAATATTTCTTCAGGATATATAAGGCTTTAAAAGAAAGTTGTTGTATCGCCCTTTGCGACCGACAGAAAACAGAAAAAGCAGCCACTGTGGACAGGTGGCCTTTCTAGACAGGTTCTACAACACATTTCTCTCTCAAGGGGGACAAAATGCATGGCCACTTTAGACAGGTGGCTTTTATAGAGAGGTGGCCACTAAGACAGGTTTTACTGTACTTGAATCGGTATCACAGTTCAAGATACAAATAATACTAAAAATCTGGTTTGCATCACAATTTGTTAAAAAATATACCACATTCATAAATCCAAACTGCGTTGATGGTGGTATTCAGTGATTCTATTTCTATCATTCCTGTTTGGACATTTGTACACATGTACCAGTATAGAAACACATAAAGAATGTATAAAATGTATATCTATTTATATATAAACACATAAAGTATGAATCATATACATGTATGTTATCCCAAACTACACATTTCTGTATGTAGATATGACTCCCTCAGGTTAAGAGTTTATAAAACAAAATAACAAATTAATAAGAAGCATGGAAATTGTTTTAATCTCGACACATTTGATACACACACAGCTATGAATATACATGACACCTACTTCAAATCCATGTTGAAAAGACTAAACCGATGATACATATAGTACACAAATAATGCATGTGAATGAGTTCATTGTATGATCTATCTGCAATCAAGTTGAGGCTGTATGCATCTATCATATGAAACCGTCGTACAATAGGTGCAAAAACAGACTAAACAAGAGCCGTAGATCATATAATGAATGAATGAAAACATGCATCATTTGCCTTATATAACATAACTCCCAGGTCCTTGTTATTTGATGTAAAAAGTGTTAAAAAAAGATTATTTTGTGTCAATATCACTGACAAATAAATGCCTAGTTCAATATGCTTACTTTAGCTTGTACACAAAATTAAGTGCACTTAGCTCTATACGCGCACTGCTGAACATCACATACTTAAAACTCTTTGAATAGTATTTGAAATTGTTTTTTAATTAAAAAAAACGTGGGATAGTCTGAGTAAATGAATCGAACGTGATCAAGTTTGACCAATCATTTGATTAGGATCTAGGAGTGAGTTGTATAATAATATATACAATATATACACATAATATACATCCAACAACACATAAAGTATTTGAATATTTAACCACCCCCCAAAAAAAATAAAAATAAAAGAGCACATTAATCAAAACACCATTAATTATCTAAGTTACATTAACCAACTATAGAGAGCAGATTGAAGTTCCTGGCAAAAACTGTTGAGTGGGAAGACGTCGCTGCCTCCACCCCCCCCCCCCCCCCCCCCCCCACCCCTCCCCTGCCCAACACCCATCCCTACGTGACACTCCCCCATCCTTCTCGTGACACTTTTGTCTTTCAGAGCTCAAAGAATCTCTCTCTCTCTCTCTCTCTCTCTCTAGGGCAGTGTCTGTCTGTCTGTCTATGGACAAAGTTCCACATAGTTACCAGGGAAGAGTCCAGTCATGCCATGGCTGACTCCTTCATACCAGCCATCCTCGTTCTTCTTCAGTACATAGATGATTGACCCTTCTTCGAACGAAAGCTCATCTTCTCTGTCGGCACCATAGTCAAACACTGCAACAACTGCAAAACAAAACAAAACAAAAAAAGGTGCTATAATAGTTAGTGGATCCAGAATAATGATGCGCTCATCAACCCTTGAAAAGTGTAATCACTAAAGGGGAACCACGGTACAAGAACTGAAGATAGAGATATATGCTGTCAAATATTTTCGATCAGGTAGAGCGAAGCAAGTGGAGCGTAAATTGGCGTTGGGTCCAGGGGCGTAGCCCAATGAAGCTCAGGGGTTTTAGGCATTTAATGATGGTCAGATGAGCATCCAGGGGCCCGCCTTAGGGAAGCTCAGGGAAAAGGCATGCCATTTCAGCAACATTTGTAAATTACTGGTATTGTTTTAGAAATAAATCAAGTTTGAATTTTATTAGGGGGGCAAATACCCTGATCCCTCCTCCCCCCTATCATTATGCCAGGGTGAGGGAGCATAGTCTCACTTTCTCACTTTTTCAGGGGGGGGGGGGAAGATCCCCCCTAAACAAATTGAAGGGGAGGATTGACAATCATAGTCCAAAGTTCCATGTTCAACTCTTTGCCAGGTATTGACATGTACAACATACAGCTCATTTTCTTTCTCTCTTCTCTCTCCCTTTCTATCCTTCTCTCTCTCTCTCTCTATCCCCCCCTCTCTCTCTCTCTCTCTCTCTCTCTCTCTCTCTCTCTTTCTCTCTTCTGTTCTACATGCAGGAGAGATTTGCAAGGTGTGGTCTCAAACAAAAATTAAAGCTCCTATTGTCTGAATAGGCTATATTAGCTATGACTTAAAGACTATGTCCCGTTTGCATGCAAAAAAAATGAAAAGGTTAAATTCCAACGGCATTTGAAAGATAGATACTAATTCAGAAATTCCCTCAAAACGAAAGGGCTTGAAACTATCTTTAAGTGGTAAAATAATGACCATTAGTTGTTGATTCAACTTTAGTGATTGCAATCCATTTAGTAATAGTCGGATTTTCTGAACTTTGTACCAAATGGTTGTACGTTTTGTGCTGCGCAAAGATTCAATCAGTTTAACTTTGGCCATTACAAGAATTGGGTTAATGCATGATGTAGACAAATGCTCATGTACCCTTTACAGCTCATTTTATGTACATGTATGTTATTATCAAAGAAAGAAAAAAGTCAGTCAGTCACTCAATAGTGCCTGACAGTGAAGTCTAGAAAGTAAACAAGTTTCCTTGCATAAATTGAATATAAGGACACTGCTAACGTTTAAATTTCACAGAAAGGACATATGTGACATGATATATATTCATAATTTCTGCAAAGTTCTACAGAATTTGTAACTCCAGCCTGGAGTTACAGAATTTGATGTTGGCTGCAAATGGGACATATAAGTACCTTTAACGGGGTTGCATTTAAAAAAAAATTAACCCATCATTTAGTTGAATAGAAGTAGAAAATCCGAGAAACATAATGTTGAGAGTTTGAGAAAAATTAGACTGGACAGAGAATAATAATAAATGAATAATGGTCATTATGTGTGATGTCATACACAATACTCATGCATGGAGAATTCTCAAATTAGGTGAGTACAGGAAATAATACAAATTAATTATTATACATACAAGCTTGCATACAGGCCTCATTTCCCAGAGAACAAAATCATGTACTGTATTTGATTCCTGTTTTTTTATTTTTATAGAGTTCAATATTGCAAGCATATTGCTCTTCCTCTGTATATTTAACACATCAGCAATGCTGAGCGTGATTTTCTCACAGTATTAAATCACGCACACGTGCATGAGCGAGTGCTGCATGTGCATGCTGGCTTCAATAGCTGTAATGTAACAATAAACTACTTTAAAAAGTAATTTTGAACAGAAGACCTGTATATAATGTAAACTGTGTTGCTTTTATTGCATTTAAACACCAATTTATATAAAAAAAACTTGGATCCTCTTTAATGTCACCAAATTTCCAAATTGTACTTTAAGACTACCGGTTGTCAAGACTCTGTTGAATTGGAAACAAACATTGTGGGTAGCATATTACATGTCCTTTTACAAAAGGTCTGTATAGAAATGGACAAGTTCTCCATGCATCAAGTAACATGACTGCATGGTCAATATAAGAGTCCACATAAGATCTCAACTTTCAAATTGCTAAAAGTTTCTTATTCTTTGTCAAGATTTTCCTGAAATTTTGACTGCCTTGTTTCTCTTCTTAAATCTGGTTCCGCACGAGCATGTCATGCAAACAAATAAATATTGAATGCAGGTTTCTTAATGGTGGATTTGAGCCCACAGGGAACTTATGCAAGTTTATATAGAATATTTGATGTACAACAATTATTGAAAATATGTGCATGAAATGAAGGAATATAAATCAGAAGGATAGCACCTTTACATGGTAACATGATATTTTAAATATCGGATATGAAGATTCTAGGTTTCTGATTGGTAAAAACTGCAGGCATGAAATTCGTTACTGACTGCTGGGCAGTATAGCGAAATATATTGACCGGGCATAGTTCTACTTGCCCATACAATGCAAGGACGCAATGTTTGCACGTGAAATTAACATCGAATATGCATGGTGATACACGCGCAATGCTCTTTGATGGGTAAATTTCCTTTGACTCTACAAATACGCTTCAAAAGACATACTTTTTTTTACGAATATCTCTTTTTAAGAATTAACACTTGAGATGCACTTTATAAAACAAATATTAACTGCTTATTGTTTGGGTCACGGATAAAAGTATAGCTTCTCTGTGATCACGAGACTGTACTATGCATGTTGACTTTGTCTCAGGGCACATTTCGATTTCAATATTTGTATATTAGAAGGGTTTATAGATGAATATAAGAGATGGGGAACAAATCTACATCATTGACACAGAATTATATCATGCCTGATTGACATCGTGAAATATTTCAGTTACACACACACAAATTGAAAGGCAAGAGAAAGAGAGAGAGAGAGAGAGAGAGAGAGAGAGAGAGAGAGAGATAGCAAAATACTTTTCAATACCGTAGATGGACAAACTTAACTACAAGTCCATACAGACGGACTTACATGTACATCATCAATTTCATTTATATAATGAATATGGACTGGCATTGTGATAATGCTTTATGGAGGCAAGAGTTGACATGAAATGAGGATGTTTGGGAGAGTTAGGAGAGCTTTTTCTTTTACCTTTCTCAATGTATGAAGGCGGATCTTCTTGTTCATCTAAACATTTCAAGAATCCACAATAAATTGAATATCTCACTTGAAATCATAAATTATTAGTAAATTTCTTTGGAATCTTGTAATCAGTAAGTTCTCAATACATTTCGCCTCACAGTGGAATCTCTGATGGCCTAGCCCCATATTTAAATCACTGATGTGTCTCTGTAATGTCTCAATTCAATTTTGAAAGACCTACAATCAAGCCATGTGAATTTGAATGGATGTGAGTGAAAGATTGGACCGAATTTCTGAATTCACACATTTAATTTACCAGTAGTTTTACATAATCCAGTCTGAAGGTCAAACAAATACACCATGTGTTTCAAATTGGACGTTATTAAGCAAATATTAATCGACTATGAGGGTAATGGTACAAACTATCATCGCCAAGGTGATCACCGAGGCGATGATATTTGGTATCCATTGCCCGAGTAAAGGAGGTTAATATTTGTTTTATATCTCACATCGGCAATAAGGTCTATTTAAAGTGAATTTTACATAATTAAAAGAACTGATTCTGCAGTCAGTTTAGCTTCAGCTAGATTTTACAAAGCACAACACGCATACATGTAATACAGTCGATGCGTACTCATTTGACATTGACATTGACATTGTCATTGACATTTCGCGTAACCTACTTTGCTATGCTTATTCAATGGGCAAGTGGGGCAGCAGCAAAAAATTACGGTACAAAAGTCCTATCGCAGGGAGATAGTACTTATCTATCATTTGTCATGTGACTACGTTTAGACCAATCAGATTGCAAGATTCTTAGTATGCGGGATATAATCCATATTAATACCAAAGATTTGGTCTTATAATCCTTACTATTACTTTCATTTTTTAAAATATATATATATCAACATAAGAATCAAGTCCTTTTACTAAGCCAGGGTGGATGATAAGTAAAGGTTTCTCAAGCTCACTGATGGTCTTTACAGAAACCATGGAATGACACCAAAACATGCAGTCAGTCATAGAACTATACATTGCTTTGCATGTGGATCCTAAAAAATAAGGCAATCTTTACATTCCTGATTCTAGCGTTTCTAAAATACCTGTAAATGTGCATACATGCTATAATATGCCCCAATGCCCATTTCATCCAATGATTTGTTTACATGTATGCATACACAAATAGAATATTAAACTTTGGCCTGTTCGAGGCGTACACGTACAGTAGTTCTAAGCCTCTTGTGCAGTATACTTAGACTTCATACAAGAATGGTTGTAAAGTGTTGCTATAAAAAAATCGGTAGCTATAGCGAGCAGAAAAATGACTATGTGACTACACCCACCTTTCTCGATGTACTGCGCTGGGACAATCTGGTCATCTTCAGCCTGTTCAAACTCTGGAGGGGGAGGCATCACGATACTCTCACGGCTATAAACAATGGCATCCATAGGGGGAGGTGGTAAATCAGAGCCTGTCAAGGAAGAAATCAGGGCGGGCGGGTGCAATGGTCAAAATTTGTTAGAGCTACTCAATTTTTGCTACCCATTCATGTAATTTGTTACGTCTTCTTGTTTACAGTCATTACGTGTTTTAATAAATGATCTCTGTTGGCCACTATTCTTCTTTCATTGATTATGTATTCCATATTTTTTTCGCACTCATTATTATCTGAGGGGTCCACAATTTACAAGCTCTGCTTTTCAGTGGACCTCTCCATTTCCTCAAAATATAAATGCAGTTAAATTTTAAAATTCATTTTTTGTCTTCCTAAAATGTATAAATTATTATTAAGATTTGTTTATTACAAATGTAACTATGTTTTGTATACATTTTACATTGTATTCGTTATTATGTATTGTATTTTGTTGGAAATGAAAAAATAAAAATGAATGAATAAATGAATGAGCTGGTAAATCAAATAGTCTTTGTCACAGGAAAACACAATTAATCATAACCAGAAAGCAAGTCGACAAATTCAAACTAGCATTTACCATCTGCAACATGTATGTCTTTATGAAACACTGGTGATTATCACATAGTGTTTTTCATTTTTTTATCAATTATTTATTTGACAAAAGGTAGGTGAGATTGAATGTTGCAATTAAAAAATGCGCAGTTTATAGAAAGTTATATATAAAATAAAATAGTAAGATTTCATCATACTACGAATGTTAGTCCCTTATTAAATGTGATTTTCATGCAGCCCAATCCTGTCATAATATTACAACACAGAATGTTAGTTTATATATGATTTGACATGTGCATTAAATAAGTCATGCAAAAATTAAGAATCATAAAATCATTGGACCAGTGACATGAATCTTTGGCCTTTTTTTCTCCAAACAGCTTGATATATATCCTGAACCTACCTCCCATATCAGGTGGTGGAGGCATACCAATATCTCCATATGGGTTTATTGAGCTACGCTTTGCCTCTCCTGCACCCGGCCTCATACCAATAGCCTGGTTCAGCTGTGCCGCAAAATTTGGCTGTTGCTGTGGGGGTGGTTGATGGGCTGCTTGGGGTGGTTGGTGTGCCGCTGGTGCAGGTGAAGGTGCGGGGGGCATCATACCTCCTATGGGAGGTGCCGGAGGGGCAGGAGGACCCATATTTGGTGGTGGTGGTTGGCCCATGTGAGTGTGTGATGGACCACCCATGCCAGGAGGAGGTGGAGGTGGTGCTTGACCGGCATGCCCCATACCAGGGAGAGTACCTGGCATGCTTGGAGGTGGGGGAGGGGCTGGAGGTACATTTGGTTCAGGCTGTCCCTGCATGTATCCTTGAATCGAAGGCCTTTCCTTTGGCGGTGCCCCGTGCTGAGAATCCCGCATGCCCACTCTACCGATAGACATATACTGGGATGGTACAGTCGGTGCAACCGGTGGGTGGTTGGGCATTCGCCTACGCATGGAGTTATACGGGTCATCCAGTCGCGGCTGATAGACTGGCAATGCTTCGTACCCACCACCACCACTGTTAGATGTAGAAGTGCTCGCTTGTGAGTCTGCTCGCTCACGAGTAGCTCTACCTGACACTGTTGAGGGAGAACTAAGTTTGAGACCATGACCTACATCATCCAGGGCTTGAAAGTCAATGGGAGCGGATTTATACTTAAGCTGCTTCTCAGGATTGGGTGGTGTGATGACCTTATGAGTGCGGGGGCAATTCTTGTTGGTGGTTAATACACCAATCTCTCGACGAGCTACTTTCTCCTTGTGAATGGCAACATTCTGAAAGAAAGAAAAATAGTTTTGTACATTAGAAATATCTATATTAATCATTAAACAGAATGAAAAAACCAAAAGAAAATCAAAACACAATCATAAATATTCAATAATCATAGATATAGGTCCTTTGAGAAGGAACTGATCTGCACATACTTCTTACCTATTTTGATGCTAATTTGATACTCTATGCTACCTTTCAGGCAATCCTAACTGGAACTCTCCAATTGATCTCAATCAGGGCTCAAATTAATCTTTTGTCCATGGGGACTCTTCAAAAAAAAAAAGAGCCCCAGTGAGCCTTCTCTACTCGGATGGGTGGTAGGGAATAGTCTCCATTCAGACTCTTATCTGAACCTATTTTTGTGGGGGAGTTATTCGTCTGGAAGCCCAGCTTGCGCAATGTTAACCACACAAATTTATGAAAATCAAAATCAGTGTGTTATAGACATATGATTATTAAATACTGCCTTCTTTAACAACCATTGAATCATTGACCCTATTGACAAATCGGAGTAAACACAGGAATACCTCAGCAAAATGATTTCATCTGTGCCCTATTCTTTGATCATCCTTAATTGTTTGTATTCCTATACCGATAAATTGGAAGGAATTCAATTGCTGCCAATTATTACCAAGTATTGTCTATGGTATCTTATTACCCAGGAGAAAAGGCAGAGCCTACATGTACCTGTGCTATGTGATTGATACTGGACTCCATGGTGGCCAGCTGAGTGGCTTGAAGATCTAGCATCTGTAGCATGCTGGTGGCGAGTGTGTTGATCTGATATGCTACGCTGGCAAGGGATTGAGTGGTGAAGTTCTTGGTTTCCTCCAGTGCTCTCCTCTTATCAGTAGCCTTCATCAAAAGAGACAGAAAAAGATATTCGAAATTTGAAATCCTATTTTTGGACTCTTTACTTCCTATTTATTATCATTTCTTGTTCAAATCATGAAGCCCATACTATTATTATTTAAACCAAAAAAGAAAAAAAAAATCGTTAATTGCCATAGCAATATTCATTTTCATGTTCACCGTTTCGGAAATTGGAATCTGAATTAAACAGAGATATCGTGTGTGCGTTGTGGTGTCCGGCTGCATTGATTTAATACATGCGATGAGATACTTTTGAGCTTGAGACTCACACAAATCGGGCTCTAAATCTGAAAAATACTTGAAGTACAGCTCATTTTATGGTACCCATATTTCTTACAGATATGCGTAAGATACTCAATTTTTCAGATTCGGGTAGCGGATTACATCACTAAAATGTGATATTTAAGGATATATTTTCCATTGCAAATGTGGTTCTTCAGTGACTCTGGCATGTTATAGTATGTGTGGGATATGTGATATGCTATTATGCAATGTATTTTAAAGGGATTTTACCATGTATCCAACGGACCGGCCGAAAACTGGTGATGGTGGATTACACACATAGGAGCATCACTATCCTGGCTGTGTAGTAAAAGCTGTGCTTTTGATTCTCAACATTTCAAACACCACTGTACAAAACTCAACTGATTTCACTCAAAATCGGTACTTTAGTGACAATTGATGACACCTAAATAGCAGTAAAATACATTTTTTTTAACTTACTGATGTTAAAAAGAATAATTTTAGAATTCAAATTGTAAGTCTACTGTCAAACTTTGCTTACAGCTGCATCGACTTGATTGTGTAGAGTCTATGCGATATTGTGTGGTGTGTATATTTGTGTATAGGTCTAATAATACCTGCCTCACAGGAAGCATACAGTGCTAGAGATCAATACGCATTAGCATTGACTCTCTATGCTTTGCTGGAGTGGTTTACTCTAGAACTTCTATAACCAGCAGGGGCGCTGGTCCGAGAATAAGGATCGTCTTCATAAACGAGGATCGTCTTCATAAACACGGACCGATGCGTCCTCAAAAATAAGGACCGTCTGCATTTTCGCAGACGTTTCATATTTTTGATTGGTGCATTGGCGATGCAAAAAACGGATTCTGCAATGATTTTCTTCATGCATTTTACATTGACTTTGTACAGAGACCTTCACATTATGAGCAATAAATCCTTGGGAAGACAGACAACCCATAAAAGTAGACGGTGAACTAGTCTAGGGTTATTTTCCCCCTGGGAATTCATTTTTGGCATCGCCAGCAGGCCGTTATGTAACATGAAACCCCCAGAGCGCCGATGAAAAAAAACGTCCTCGAAAATGCAGATAACCCTTATTTTTCAGGACACATTTTGTCTGCATTTATGAGGATATCCTTGTTTATGAGGACGATCCTCATTCTACTGTAGGACCAGCGCCCCTAGAGTCAAGGAGCCGGTTTTCGGCCACTTAAGACAAAATCCTATTTTTTGGACCCTTTACTGCCTATTTATTATCATTTCTTGTTCAAATCATGAAGCAAATATTATTATTATTTAAACAAAAAAAGAATCCCAGAAAAAAATCACGAATTGCCATGACAATATTCATTTCAATTTTCACTGTTTTGGAGCCGATTATCGACCTAGCGAGTCAGTTTACGCCACATGTACAAAGTCAATAGGAAGCGCGCGCGCCATGCGTTTCCGCGCTGATCTATAGCACAAGCGGGCGGAGCAGGTATCCCACGCTGGAGCTCCCCGGTGCTCGCTTGGTCGAAAACTAGCACTGCAGTGATCGGAAATTGGAATCTGAATTAGACAGACATATCGTGTGTGCGTCGCGGTGTTCGGCTGCATTGATTTAATACATGCGATGAGATACTTTTGAGCTTGCGACTAACACAAAATCGGGCTCTAAATCTGTAAAAATACTTGAAATAAAGCTCATTTTATGGTACCCATATTTCTTACAGACACGCGTAAGTCTAAGATACTCAATTTTTCAGATTTGGGTAGCGGGACCGCCGATTACATCGCTAAAATGTGATATTTTAGGATATATTTTCCATTGTAAATGTGGTTCTTCAGTGACTCTGGCATGGTATAGTATGTGTGAGATATGTGTTATGCTATTATGCGATGTATTTTAAAGGGATTTTATCATGCATCCAACGGATCGGCCGAAAACTGGAGCTGGTCGATTACCCCCTCCTTTACTCTAGTACTAATACTGATAACTTAAACTTATTCAATAACATAAGGGTTTTTATTTACATGACGTTATGGCAGCCGAAGCTGAATTGCAGGTCATTTACAAGGTACTTATTTATTACTACAATATAGAAATTACATTATCGTTAGCAATTTGGTGAATATCTGAGATTCTGACATGTCGGACAATTAATTTGATCTTTTCACAACTTAAAAATTGGTAGGTGGGACCGAAATGATCAGATGATCGAATGAATAACTCTATAATTACAAATAGTTTACCTTTAGATAATTATCTTCGCAATAATTAGCTACATCTTGCAAGTTGTGATGACTGTCCTGCAAAGCCTGTCTTCCAGCAGGAATTTCATTTTCGAAAAGAAGTTCTAACGTCGACATTTTGTCAGATTTTGTCCAAATTTCCACAAACTTCCGTATTCATAAAAGGAATTGTGGGATATCTAGGAGTGCCACTCTATTTCCGCAATAGTCTGAATTCAGACGTAGATATAACCTCTGCCAGACAGTCGTGATGTTTTTGATGAGAAATCGGAAGCGAAGTTCAGAACGTAACAATGTTCGATGACTTGACACAACCGTGCACAACTAGATGTACATGATTAACTGAGGAAAGCCGGGGGAGGGGGAGGGGGGCAGGGGGCCCGCCCCCTTGGAAAAAACGTGTGAAAACACGTTAATTTTACCTTTTTTTGGAGATGCCCCCCCCCCTCGCGCTATTTGTCAAATTTTCGAGGGCCAACAAAAAATTAGTGCTCACTACCCCCCCCCCCCCCCACTGAGCGAAATATGGTGGCTCAATATAAAGGCCACTTAGGGAGTGTAGGACGTGTGTACCCCCCCCCCCCTTTCCATGCACGCACTGACAATTTTCGGTAAATTAATTCATAATTACTGTAAGAAAGTTAATGAGATTATTTTTTTCTTTTAGAATAGACCTACTTCAAAACCGGCGAATTTGTCGGCAAATGTAATGATCTAACGAGTCTCTACTTTTTTCCTCCCTTCTCATTTGTTCTAGTTGGGATTAATATTTTCATCTTTGGTCGACATTTCGTGAGTGTGTATGCGTGTGTGTGTGTGTGTGTGCGTGCGTGCGTGTGTGTATGTTGGAGGGGGGAACCTAAATTTGTCGATTTTTGTTTGTTAAGGGTGTTAATCATAAATTATTATTGGACCTCATGGATGGTCGACGAAATGGGAATTAGTCAAGAGAATGATATGTCTGTGTACATCATCCTTGAAAAATTAATCCGAGACTTCATCCGTCATTAGTTTTGCACAAGGCAGTAAGGATACGCTCATGTAAAGGCGGCCCTCCAGGGGGGGGGGGCACAGTGCCCCTTTAACTTTGTAAGAAGTGCCCCTTCTTACATAGGAAAAGTGTCCTTTTTACTTTGCAAGTGCCCCTATTAAAATGTATAAAGGCCCTTCCCTTCTCAACCTATGATAAGTGCCCCCTTTGCTTCGACAAGTTCCCATTTTCCTTTGCAATAAGTGTTACAATAACAATAACAATCACACGATAAGGGGGCACGTTCTTCTTTTGGATACGTATTAAGGCATAGGCTACTTTATTAGGTTCCAAGCGAGGAATGGTCACGTTGTGCTCCTATCACCACCACCCCAATCCAATATTCCTCTAAACAGTGCCATATATCCATGCAACTAACAGCTTCCTGTCAGGCATGTGACCAAACAGGTGAGAGTGAAATTCATTCGCAGCCTTGCGTGACCGTAGTAATTATATACAACATCACGAGCCATGCTGGTCACGAGCACAGACAGAGGCGACGGAGTGACTTCCAAAGTGGGGGGGGGGGGGAGGGGACCAACAAAAAAGGGCACTTTCTGGAAAAAGGGGGAACCTTCAAAGGGAAATCTCAAAGCGAAAATATACCATTTTTAGACATTGGTATATACCCCTATAATTGTGATTACATGAAAAGGGATGGTTTCAATATTTGTTTCTCTGTATACATCGTATAAGACATTGCTTAAGCACCATACCTTGCAGTTGGGTGTGATGGTCTGAAAATTCATTTGCGAGCGCGAGGACAAAATTAAGATTTGTGAGGTCGCAAAGCAAAAATTACATCTCATAAAGAGGAAAAGCCTAATCCTGAAGGGGTTAAAAGCACATTCTCATAACAGAAGACTGAAAAGACCTTTGATAAGTAACATAACTATGACATATATAAATGCGAGCGAGCGTAGCGAGCGATCTTTGGGGAATATTGCTTATAGTCGCTTGCATTTAGGGGCACGTTTAATGATGAAAGGAAAAGGGGACACTTATCGAAAGGGATGACACTTATTAGAAAAGAAATGGTGCACGTGTCAAAGTACAACGGGTAATTATCAGAGGTGAAAATGGGGTACTTCTTACACCTTAAAAAGGGGCACTCACCAGGGATGAAAAAGACACTTATGAGAATTAAAAAGGGGCACTTATAATAAAGGGAAATGTGCATTTGTTGAAAGAAAATGGGTACCGATCAGATTTTAATAGGGGCATTTACCAGGGAAGAAAAAGGGCACTTATGAGAATGAAAAGGGACTATCAGGATAGGTGAGAAGGGAAAGGGGCTTTTTTTAATGGGGGCACTTATCATAAGGAAAATGGGCACTTATTAGAAAGGAAAGGGGCACATGTGAAAATATAAGGTGCGCTCCACCGAGTTAAAAGGGGAAGTTTTTAAAAGGGGGAAGGGGCACTTGTCAAAGAAAAAAGGGGCACCTCCCAGATTCAAATAGGGCAATTATCAGAGGTGAAGGGGCGCTTATCAAAACTGAAAAGGGGCACTTCTCGTACCTGAAAAGGGGCACTTACTTGAGATTAAATACTTACTGCAAAGAAAAATGGGATCTTGTCGAAGGAAAAGGGGTATACGTGTTAAAATAAAAGGGGCACTTATCAGAGGTGGAAAGGGGAAGGGGCACTTTTACAAATTGATAGGGGGCACTTGTAATAGTAAAAGGGGCACTTTGTATGTAAAAAGGGCCCCTTTAGGATCCTTGAAAAATTGGGGGGGGGGGGCACTGTGCGCCCCCTACCCCCCCCCCCCCCCTCTGAGCACAGAAACACAAAGCCATTATTATTATCATTTATTATCATCATTATAAAAAAAAATTAGTAGTAGTTGTAGTATCATTATCAATATTTTATTATTATTATTATTATTATTATTATATCATTATTAGTAGTAGTTGTAGAAGTAGAAGTAGAAGTAGTAGTAGTAGTAGTAGTAGCAGTAGGGGGGGGGGGTAAGAGGACACTTTTTTTTTTTTTTTTTTGGTCACGATATTTTTAATTTTGACATTTTGCTCCGTTGCGGGGGGGGGGGGTAAGGTCACCTTTTTAGGTCAGCCATAGGCATTTTTTTTTTTTTTTTTTTTTTTAATAAAAAAAAAAAAAAAAAAAAAAAATGGTCGGGGGGGGGGGGGCACGCCCGTTTTTCAGTACATTTTGCGCGAATTTAGGGCTGATTTTAACATATTTTTTTGGCAGGGCGGGGGGGGGGGCACGTGCCCCCTGTGCCCCCCCCCCTGGATCCGCCACTTTGCCTATTGCAGTCTCATATTGCAGACACTCTAACGCACAACGACTGACAAGGGTCTGAACCTGCAAACTATTAAACACGTGACATCGAAATGGTTATTGTTATTAAAAATGTCCGTATGATATAGTAATGACGAGTCATGCCGATCACGAGCACGGAAATACACGTGAAACCCAAGTAAACAATTATCTCAGTTTGATCCGATCATGCGTTTGTATTGGAGAAACAACTTGATACAATCACACCAATGGGTTGAAGAGAGATGGGAAGATAATTACAGATCGCAAAAACTATTTTTAAAAAACTGAGGCAATTTCAATCGCATTGTGTTATAGCTTTTGAAATTTATAACCCTGAACCGACCACATAATTTTGAAGCGATAGGTACTAATGATGGGTTACTACTGTCCTAGAATTGATTTTATCGAAATACTTTACGATCGTATTAGAAGATGAAGGAGACGAAGGAGACGAAGAAGGTAAAGAAGATGAAGAAGATAAAGATGAAGAAGAAAAATGAAAAGAACAAGAAGAATAAACAGAAGAAGAATATGGAGAAGAAATTTAAAAAAGAACATCAACAAGAAAAAAATGACAACATTAACAACAACATCCAAGACAACGAGAGAAGTGGCTTTAATAAAGGCATTCATGATAATGATATTTACCATTTACAATAATTATAGCGCAATTATTCCTGTCTTAAAACATATCAATGCGCTTTACACAAATTACATAATTACCCTAGATTAATAAAGGCCATTAATTTTGATGGGGTCCACAATTAAATGGGCTACTGTTTACTCAGGCCCACCTATTCTCATGATTTTAATCCTGTCTATAAGTCCTCCTCTATATGTGAAATGTTATTTTGGTTTAGGGTTCGTTTGTTTTCATTTTTAGTACAGACTAAGCCGACGATACCGAGATGAGATGTTTATTTTTCAGTAGTGAGGGGTGGGGTCGCTGTGTTCAGGCGCTTATGCAGCGGGGGGTTTGGGGGTTAACCCCCCCCCCTCAATTTGAAAAAAAAAAAAAAGCTGAAGGAGGCACCCCACTCCCCCCCCCCCCCCCCCCCCGCTTATTCAGCGGTTGGCTGGGTCGTTGCGAAATTTTCGGCGCGATTTTAGAACATTCCCCCCCCCCCCTTGAAAAAATCCTGCGTACGCCACTGGCTGTGTTGTATGTGTAAGCAGGGAGGGGAGAAAATGAAGAGGGCATTTATAGTCTCACCTCCCTGGTGTAAGTCGGGATGGAGGCAAATAAATAAAAACGAAGATAACTTTTCATTCTCGTACTGTGTTTTACCTCTGCAAAAGTTGCATGTACAATCAATTGATAAATTTCAGTCAAGAACTGTGGTTAAAGGGATAGTTGAGTTCTTGTTTCAGACCGAGAGTACCTTCAAAGTGCATGTGTATTGCTCTTATTCTTATTAATGCCATTTCTAGTGCCCTTTTATCACCTAAAGTTGCTATGAAGGTAATTTTAGACCCCAAAATGTGTGAAATTTAGCCAATACGATCATACCAATTCAGCTCCACGTTAAAAAAAACATGGTGACTGTTAATTAATTAATATTAACAATACTTGGGTCGGCTGGTTGTGCGTATTATAACCAACACGAAAAAGCCAACAAAAAAACCAACATCGGCATTGGCTGGAATAAAACGTATAAGGCGCTATTTCGTTTTTTCAACGGCTGGTTTAAATTATCGAATATATTTGTGGTGGTACACAAATATTAGAAATGGTTATATTTATGGATATTTCAGCCGTGTTTGAACCGATTTTGATCAAACAAAGATGATTAACATTTAGATTTTATGTTCATTGAAATTTGACACTCAGTTCTTCATTATCACACACAAAACTATTTTGTGTAGCGCCCTCCGCAACAGAACTGAACTATCACTGCTCAAAACTGACATACGTCCAAATATCAGTCACCATTATCATAACTAGGCCTATCATTACAATCATATAGCGATAGTTTTGCTGTATATAGCCCTTTCAAAATGTTCAATATATTATTGGAAATACAATATGTACGGTTAAACATGCCCAACCTCGTTGCCGAAATTTGTATGGAATACTCCTAAAGACCTGTATCGTCAATAGCATCTTTTTACTTTCTTCTTTTTTAAGTACGCAATTTTGCCGAAAGGCATTTAACTGCTTTAATACCATTACATTTTAATGTTTTGTTGATACTTTTGATTTTCTGGAGCTTTGGACAAAATCTAGTGAGAGCCCCATCCAACCCCATTTTCCCATTTTGTTCAAATATTATAGGGGGAAGTTTGAGCACGCCTGTTTCTTTTTAATATTTTGGTGTTCATTTTCCAGGTATGAATTATTACCCTTGATGATGAGACCACAATGCTTTTATATTCGTAGTGTACGATAGGACCTACGTTGTTTGCTTCGTGTCTGAATCTACAGACTAACATAAGGTGATTTGTTTTTTAATGTGTGTGTTTCTGTTGAGCCCGGCTGTTGAGGCGTCGTACAAAAAAACTCCTCGATTTCTATCGACAAAATATGAACGAACAAAGCTTTTACCGCAATAACTGAACATAACAATGTGAAAATACAATCAACTTCATGACAGCCTGAGGATGTTTTGTATCTGGCTGCTGAAATAAAAACGTCCGTTTTCACATTCTAGTCGAAATTTCAGGGTCACAACGGCGTCCCAGTTATGAAACCGAAGCTGGTCGATGTACCTATATCCTCACATGATCTCGGGTCAAGTGACATTGCAGTACAGTGTTTCTACTACTACCGTGTTCAGACATAATTGTGTACATTTCATTTATTATCATTGAGTAAAGAAAATTATGTGCGTGCCTGTAGCTAGGTTTGAAATGACTGTGTGATATCCTGTTCTGATTCGGTGTGTATACACAAACTAAGTGAAGCAACGACCTGAGAATTTCCTAGATTAAATTTGGAAAAAGATAATGATAGCACTCTCCTTCGTTTCGTGATGTCTACGACTACATGGGCATGTATAGTAAACGGTATATAAGACGCGTCGTCAAACAACCTGTAGAATCTTTTGAAATGACGGCGATATGACCTCACAACTTCAACTATTATAATGAGGACTACTGACGCTAAATATCTTTAAAAACAATTTTGAGACTTTAGTCAAAGCATATTTCCTCAGTCTCTTCCTCCACCGCCCTCATCTCTCCCTCTCCCTCTCTCTCCCTCTCTCTCCCCCTCCCCCTCTATATATATATCTCTCTCTCTTTCACTTTTCTTCTATCATGTGTTTTCCTTCTGTACATCTAAGTCCATCGTCTTATTTTACTCGGCCAAATTCCACAATAAAATTGATTCCCATTTTCATTTGATCACAAGAATTTATAGCCTCTTCAATTTCTTAAAACGAAAGAACATTAACAAAAAAAACAACATATAGGCCTATTTATAATTCGCAATGAAATTTAATCACCAAAAGGAAAATGAAAGAAGAAAGTCAGTTGGCTTTCTCGATACAAACAACCGTAAAAAGAGACCGAACATAATTATCCCAGTAATCATGTGAGAAAAGCAAGGAACACGTGAACACTGATGTTTTTGCTAATACCAATTAGGAAACTGATACACTTAAAACATCATGCAGAAACACGTGAGTGTACAGTTGAAATGCACATATGCACATGTACATGATGTATGATACTTGTACATGACTTCTTGAGTCACGTTGAGAGCTGCTCGTGTAGTCAACCCAGTTAGGTGCGAGAGAAGAAACAAAACGTATACAAGTAAACTGGCGTCGTCTATAATAATGCTTATATCTTTCTTCTACACCTGAATGTCATTTTATTCAATTTATAGCTGTGTTCAAAATTTCAAATAAGGTCATGCCTTTTTAAAAAAAATTTTTTATAGAAGGCATGTAGGAGGGGGGGGGGGGTATAATATGCAGCCCCGCGTGTTGTAGACACATTGGAAATAGAGTAGATTAAAAATTAAAAATATGCTGGGCATCCAAAAACGGGCGGGAGGCGGACATCAGGTTCAACTTACACTGTATTCCGCTCTGCTCATAAAATGTAAAAATAATTATAATATACAATTTGATAGAAACCAATTAACACGAAAATACAAACCAATTAAAGCAACAACAAAAATACAAACATGGCTATCAAATAAAAACATGATTGAGCATGAATAATTGTCGAGTCTATCATAAAATCATCTTCATTCACTTTATTTCTTTTCTTCAAAATTAGTGGGCAAAACCCAGACATTGAAAATGCTGAAAACACTTAATGAGTCAATAATTGCACAATATACGTGCAGACAAAGGCAAATCAGCACTGCCTGTCGAACAGCATTTCAATCAGTACTCTTAGTTGAAATAATTATAATAATCACTTGACTATGATTTCTCCCCCCCCCCTCCTTTTCTTTGTTTTAATTCTGTCTAGATATCTGAAGATCTTACTTTCTGTTTGCTGGATAGAAAACGTTTACCTTTTAGTCCCCGTCGGTAAATTTGGAAATCTATGGAAATGCTTTACCCATGACATCAACCCAGGGCCCTGTTTCATAAAACTTGTTATCATAACAAGTTACAAGCTACTGTTATAAGCTACTGAAATCATGGCATCTGATTGGCTGAGAGCACATTTGTCATAGAAATTTAGCATTTGTTATAGATAACAAGTTTTATGAAACGGGCCCCTGGATAGCACTCTCTTTTAAGACAACTTTCAGCGCACACCCCATTCCAAATGATCTAGCCACGCCCTCGAGGACAGTCACAACCATAAAATAGAAATTTGACTCAAATAATATTCTAAATTTGCAAAGTAATTGAGGGTATATTTTTATCATTTCTTCTGCGTTTCTATTTTCGGTAAGATCAAACCGTAAAGAGCTATAAATATAATTTTGATTATGCGATGAACTGAATTAGTAAAAGTAATAGTTCGTTTTAGCATCTTACGAACAGTAAAAACCCAGCAATAACCATCTAAACTATAAGACACGAGAAACATTCGATTGGTTTATACGAAAATGTGTACACCTGGGTGTAGATAAAGATACATAATGTTCACCCCTGCTTGTTCACTTTGCTAATAACAACTTTGAAAATTAATTCAAATTAAGTGAAAGAGCATAATTATAGGATAATGTGTGACGAGGGAAAAATAAGTTCATCAAATTTCCAGGTGCATTTTGGTATAAAATTGATGAGAGCCGTGGCACAATCATGAGCATAATTTGTTGCTTTTTCTATGTAGTGTGTAGACTATTTTATGGAGATCAGGTTTTTGCGGGGGTGATGCCCCCTGCCAAAATGCCTATATAGATTAACCAGCGGTATCAACATATTTCAATAGATCAATCAGTAAAAATAAATGAACATTTAAAAATAATCTTTAACAGAGTAGAGTAAATAATTATACTACAATCACGATAAACAATATCAAAGCGCATAAACAATCTTTAAAATATCTCAAGTTTCATTATCCAAGGCATTAAAGTGTATAAAGCTGCATGCAAACAGTGTATTGAAAAACAAATCGCTTTGTATTATAAAACATCCTCAAAGCTTTTCAGCTGCATTTTCCTAAAAGAAATACGTAATGAATTCATTCTATTAATGTGTAAGGACCCCACCCATTTTAAAAAAAAAAAATTTATTTGGGGGGGGGGGGGGGGGGGGGGCTCTCAAAAAAGCATACATGTATTTACAAGTCAATATGCTGATACTAATATAACAATCTTATCTACAGCCACCATTACAAATACTTCTAATAACGATATGCATTATGGCCTATATATATTATACACATACACACACACGTTAAATTAGTCTAAATTTCTGAAAAAACAATGTACAAACTACAAAGGCACCTTTCAAATTCGAATATAGGCCTATCATAATTAGGCCCTTAGATAAACAAAAATAATGCATCTTTATCTCCAGTTACAAATTTTAAAGTATTTGGTTAATTCTGCTCAAAAACTCGCGTCTCAGACTAGTAATTTGATTCAGGCTATAAATGAAAATGAAATGAGTAAGAACTAAGTAAGTAAGAATGCACTGCATTGGCACTTCTTCAATTATCCTGTTCAATGAGTTTCTACAATAGAACACCCCCCCCCCCTCATGAAAAGTAGGCTCATCTCAACATGATGTGTTCATTGTGTTGGCTTTTATGCCTGTGGACCATCAGACTTTTTAATTTCAAAGAAGAAGAAGTATTCGTGCAGCAACTACATGATTTATTGCTTCCGTTGTTGACACTGCCATTCCTGCCTTGTGACTGACCTAAACCGTCAACATATCTCTTGAAATAGGGTCCATTCTGTTCATTCCGGTAGTCGATGTCACTATCATCCACACCCGAGGGGGCGTTTGGAGATTGATGGCTTTGGGAGGTTAGGAACGAGGCACCTCTCTCCTCGGAGGATCTTCTTAAAGGCATGAGTGAAGTGTAGCTTTTCATTTCTGCTTCGTCATTGCAGTAGACTTCTTCCAGATTCATTGGCGCGCTCAGTCTTTCTGGCTGCAGACAAAAGCGATCTGGATGAACCATGGTGGGTACAGGAACAGCTGCAATGTCATGGGGTGTCTTTCTTGACGGACGTACTGATGAGCGACTAGGTAACCCATCATTGAAACAGGTTATATGATGGGAGGGAAGGTTAACACCTACGTTGGATGCAGTACTGTGTGGTGACAAGCAAACGGGTTCAGTTGTCAGGGAATTCGCGTCAGAGATTCTCTCAGGATATCTCTTTCCGCCACTGCTCTGCTTTGGATGAGTGTCATTCTCCTGAAGTGCAGGTGGCTGATTCTGGAAAGGAGACGAATGAATCTCTGCATGCAGCATAACAGGTGCATTGAGGTTGTTGGTACCATTCAGCCCCTTTGGCGTGTGAAGGACAATCTTACCAGAAATGATAGGTAGAGTAAAGGTATTGTCAGGTGGCCAGGTGAAGTTGGATGAACTGGCATCAGTGTTGACTGCCTTGTCAACACACTGTACCTTGGGGGTATTCTGGCACAACAATGAGTTGTATCTATTTCCGGTTAATGACCTCTCATATCCCATTTGGTCCTTTCCAGAGGAAGGAAATGGTCCATCTAGTCTTTCCACAGAGGAATACTGAGAAAACTTTCTTTGAAAGTCTGTCCCTGTAGTAAAGTTTGAAGGAGATGCAATGCCTACAGAGTCCTCTGATCCGGAACTCCTACTTTCTCTGTAACTACCCTGTGATCTTTCTTCATCTGATCCTGAATATGTCATGCATGATCGTGGACAAGACGAGTCATCATCGAGTCCAGCTTGCTCATACTTCATCCAATCTGAGTTCTGATGAAAGCCATTCTCTGATCCTGGCGTGGCATTCCCTGCAGTCTGCTGGCTGGCGATTACATGAGAGGCCGTCTCTACTTCACCTTCCAAGAAAGCTAGTATCTCTTTTGTAAAGCTTGGAACATCCTGGCTCTTTTCTCCGTGATCCCTCACCCACTTCTCAAGAGAAGTGAAGAGGGAGAGCTGCTGATGTGCTGCGGAAAAGATGTCATTGATGCCCAGTTTCTCGAGGAATTGGTTGACCATGCGCAGATAGATGATGGCTAGATCTAGAAGATCAGCCTTGTCAACTCGTCTATGCCTTGGTAGCTGATGGCACAGTGGGACAAGAGAGCGGATAGTATCAAGACATGTATTGATGCGGTCTCTGCGACGCTTTTCCACATCTTTATGACTATCTAGGTATTCCCTGGACTTCTTTCTTGAGCTCAGATCCAATGGGTTTGGATCCAAGTTTCGACGCTTGCCTAGGATGTGTTGAATCTGTGCAAGCTCAGATTGAGTGGCCATGGTACCAGATCGGAAGGAAGCCCTGCTGAAACAATACAATCAAGACAAACAAAAATCAATTATTGATGAATCACATTAACTTTTCTTCACCATTTCTACCATGCAGTTTAGTCACTTGAAATGAAATAAAATCTAATTTTGTAGATTTAGGTCCTACGTAAATGCAGAAGGGAAATTGAGATTACAATCAATTGATATTTTTAGAATCTTTCTGGATTTGTATCATTCTTTTCCAATAAGGACAAAGAAAACGTGTTCAGACAATCTGGTGCCTTTGGAAGCGTATTGAGTATTAATCTGTTCATAATGATATTACGAATGAATGGGGATTTCACGAACAGTGAGAAGGAACAACGTATTTTAATAATCGTGAACTTGATGTGCTCATCAATTCATATCTTGGCATAAAATGCATTTATTGTACATCATTTAAATTAAGCACATACACGAAAAGAGCGTTTACGGCCTAAATCAAAAGTTTGTTGTCTGTTAAAAAAATATGTTTTGCTGATATTTATGCATATTAGACGGCAATGGGGGCCAAAAATGGCTTAGTAAAGCTCCCGAAAGTATAGATCTACTAATAAGGTTCGAATTTGGACAGAAAAATAATTTGAATGGAGTATGGAACGGTACCATAGCCTATGGTCGGATTTAAGCGGGATATCTTCAAGTTTTGAAGCCTTTTGGAGCCTTCATTAATATTCAATATTATTCCACATTCTCAATTTTCATATAATGAACATTTTACATGAGTAGGGAAGTGATCCAATTGATTTGAAAATGAAATGGATTGCCAAACTCTATTCAGAAGAGCAAATCACCCGCTCGATAAGCAGTTTGAGAGGAACATTATCAATGTTATTCAGGACAATACCCTCTTTAATTCGAAACGTGTATTGAATAGTAATACAATTCAAGGGCGTTGGCCTTAACTTGAATCATGCATGCAAGTTTCTATTTGTTCGGCGGGGCGGGGGGGGGGGGGGTGATCTCGCTTCAATTCGTGAAAAACATGTTGTGTAAAAAGAATATTTCGGAAAATAAAATGAAAATTTACAAGGCTTACAATGAGGGTTAGGGAGGTGGTCCAGGCGTCTCGCACTTTTCCTCTTCTCCCTTTCCCTGTCTTTCTTTTCTCGTTTTTCACTACTGGAGGGGCGGAGGGCGGAGGGCGGAGGGCCGAGGGTGGTGGTGGGGGGGGGGGGGGGGTGTGTGGGCGGGGGCTATGCCATCATGAACAGTGATATTCCTCACATATATTGACATGTTGTTGTATCCGTAACTCAAGTTATGTTGTATCGCATGCGCAGTGGCGGATCCAGCCGGCGGGAAGAGGGGACCAATCCGTGAGAAAATATTGGTTGCGACTCAGCCACCGGTGAATAGGTGGGGGGGGGGGGGGGGGGGGGGGGGGGGGGGGGGGGTTGGAGGCACTTTTTTTTGGTCAAATTTTTCAGGAAATATTTTGAGCCGACTCAGTCAACTGGTGAATAAGCGGGGGGGGGGGGGGGGTGAGACCACTATTTTTGTTTTTTTTCACCTAATTCGTGAGAATTTATTTTTGTTGTTGTTGTTGTTGACCCGTCAGCCCCCCCCCCCCCCGTGGATCCGCGCCTGCAGAGGATCCAGACGGCGTCAAAGGGGGGGGGGTAGCCAAATCTTAATACAAAATTTAGTGCCGACTCAGCTGGCCGGCGAATAAGCGGGGGGGGGGGGCTTTTGTTTTTTGTTTTATAAAGGTTAACTTTACGTTATTATCCTATTTTTTGTATCGTTTTGGGAGGCTAGGGGGGGGGCGGGCCGGAATAATCGCTACCTGGATCCGCCCCTGCGCATACGTTAGTTTTTTTAGTGTATAGACTTCTTCTTCTAATTCGATGAAACCAATTTTGCTCATTTTGGCTAGTTCGGATTATCTCGCGAGAAAATAAAAATCAAGAAAAGATAGAAAAACAAATAATCTTGCTAGAGTCTAGTCACAAAATATAATACCAAAATGTTTGGTTGTCGTTTATTGATTTGTAGAAAGAAAATCTAATATATTTCTCCAAACCAGGGAATTTAAGTTCTGAACTTAAAAAGGGAGTGTTTTTTAATCTGCTGGAAACGATAACGAGCTAAACTTTTAATGAAGGATTTTCATGGGCAGATCCAGGGGGGTTCGTGGGGGCGCACGCCCGCCTTTTTCCTTCCGAAAAAATGGCAGGAAAGAGCTAAGAAATATTCACATAAATGTTCAGTTAACGAGTTCAGAAATGCCTCGGAATGTACCATAAAGCACCGTTAAGGTTCAAAGTTGTCTGGGGCCCTTAAACCCCTTAAGCGGGCCCCGGACCCCACGCCGTAAAGGCTTCGCGCACGCAATTTTGTACATTTCACGCCCCCGCTCCCCCTTTGAAAATCCTGGATCCGCCCCTGATTTTCCCTCGATAATTTGTATATAGCCTGATAGCTAGATGGCGGATCCTAATCTCAATTTTTTTTTTAGATATGTAGAAAGTAGGACTAATATACTTTACGAAAAGATTATCTTACAAAATTAGTCATTATTCTTACCTTTCCAGCGAACGATTTCTTCAACTTGGACTTGGTGCTGTTATGTTACTTTAAACTAAAAACACAGCCTTGATCCTACTTTGTCCCAGAGTAATTACACGAACAAATAGATGAAAAATGAAAGTTTATTGTTGTAGTTCCATGAAGTTCAGTTCTAGTAGTCAGCCAGAAATACTACAGATCAAGATGCAATGACTAAAGTACGTACTAACGCTGCATCTTGTGAAAATCAAGCGACGGATGCATGCAGACCGACCAACAACAATGATGTGCCCGTCGAGCTCGTTTGAGATCAGTCTTGTATGATTAATGAGGTTCCAATCGTAGATGTGATTGGATTCAGAGTGTTGATTCAGAATGATGAGCACGTCACATGAAAGTATGCCACGTCGTGTGCCGGGTCGTGTCGTCTAGGTACACTGGTACCAGTTTCCACCAACCTTGAAGGTGTGTACGCCAGTTGATCGTTGATTGGATAATTAATAAAGAAGGCGTGCACCTATACCCAGATCTCTGTTGATGTTTGCTCCTCGTCACCCCTTGCCAGAGTGAGTCTAGCTCAACATCCAGGTATACAATGTTGTAGCAAAAAGAAAGAAATCCGTCTCAATTCCCCATTCAAAATCCAAGCATCTCATGAATTGATGAAAGAGTGTTTGCATCAGCCTCACACACTAATGTGGAATAGGGGGAGGTATAGTAACAAGAGACTCGTCAGATCAGCCTTGCCCCTGATCGAGATCGATGCATGTGTCGAGTCACACGTTTGGAACACAATAATTATAATTTATAATCATCGGCTTCATTTCTAGTTCTCTCCCTCTATCTCGCTCCCTACCCACCCCTAAATACATGCACATGTATATTAGCAAAGAGAGGAATTCGACTCTATTAAATAAAGGGGAGGCGTCGTTTTCCCCACCGTGAATCCCCACAAGAAGCAAAATAAGAAGTCACGTGTTTTGGTGCGTGAACCAGACCTACTTACTTGCAGCCATCACGTGCAAGACGACACGTTTGATCAGATAACGCTGTAGTCTGTATACAGAGACTGTACTAAATATAGATAAGAGATATTAACACTTATTAGTCTAAATATTCAGTCCCAATTGGTCTGGACACACTCAGCAAAAATTATTTTCTTCCGTAGGACATACGTATCTGTTGTGCATTAAATAGAAAAGGAAAGAAAAAAAAACTAAGAAAATTTGAAAATAAAAGTAAAATCTGCGCAGGGGGCAGTGAAAAGTGAAAAGTGAACATATAATCATCTTCTTTTATTCCTTTTTTGCGTAGTCCTAGAAATTGAGATGGTTGCTGGATTATTACAGCCATTGTGCTTCTCCAAACGTACTATATCAGAATAACATTTTACAGTTTTTTGTTTATTATGGGTATGAGGGAGGCATGCCCCCCCCCCCCTAATCTGGCTTTCCTTTATGTACACGGCAGATAACAGAAAGCGCTAATGTAACACACTCCAAACAGTGAACTGAAAAAGCAAGAACACACACTTCTTACGTATAGATGTTTTTATTTGCATTGTTTTGTTTTGCTTCAAAAAGATTTTCAGAAATTGTCTCCTTGCTTGAGAATGGACCAGCCAACTGAGTCACTAAACGGTCACTTGCTATCTTTATATCATGAATTCTATTCTCATCTTTACCAATTAGTGAATTTAGCATTCTTTATATAGTAAGGCCTGTATTGAAATAATGTATATATGTTTTTCATGTTTTCTCTGCATGTTGTTTTAATTTTATTAAACAATGGGATGGGAACAATGGGAGCAATGGGATGGAAATATCAAAAATATTTACTAATAATAGCCATGTCCAGACGCGGCTTCCTACTCGGCGTAAGATTTCCCTGCAGTAATAAACATTCCATAAATATTTGACTAACACCATTAATTGTCCGTTAGCTCTTACTCGGACCAACTTGCCACGATTATAAAGTCGACACGACCTTCCACCAGCCAGGTCTTATTCAGCGTAATTTCCGGAAGTGGTGGCGCCCGCACTAGTCGACCTATGCTCAGCTTCCGCATCTATCCCGCGCGAAATCTAATTTTCGATTGTAAGCAAACGTAATTTATTCCTAAACCATTCAGATTAAATTTCAGCATGAATCACCGAAAGTTGCAATTTATGATATTGATGTTGACCCCAGAAGTTTTAAGTGTTAGGTCACACAACCCTTGTGAAAGGTCACAGATACTCCAAGTGTCGAGTGAGAGCATCCACACAGTCAACTTAGCGCGTTACTCCTGGAAAACCCAGGTGTAAATCAGTCGGCGTAAAGGTCGGCGTAGCTAATACGACTCAGACGGTCACTACGCCGACCTTTACGCCATCCTTACCATACTTATGCCGACTAGCTCTAAATACGATCCTTACGCCGATCAAAATTGCAGCGTGTGAACACGACTACTAATGTGGTGCAATTTATTATTACCGTCAATACAGCTTGGACAAAGGTATGAATAAATTAAACATTTGGTGGAAACCGTTCCCTGTAAAAGGGGAAACAAAAAAATAAGTAGAAAAAGGTGAGGAAGAAAGAGAAGAGAAAAACATGAGGTGAGAGAGAAATGAGAGGGAGAGAAATGGGGTGTGAAAGAGACAGAGAAAATGAGAGAGAGAGAGAGAGAGAGAGAGAGAGCAGGCCCGTAGCCAGAGTTTGATGTGTTTGTTTGTTTGTTTGTTTGGTTGTTGTTGTTTTTGTTTTTTTGGGGGGGCACATACATGTAATTGATCGACGTCCTGGGGAGGGGTCTAAAAAAGTTCAACCGATCTTGGATTTTTTTTTTTTTTTTTTTTGGGGGGGGGCACCCTGAAATGTTGATTGGACCTAGAAGGTCACAAAATGCTCTCAAAATAATGTCAATCCACGAACACTATTATAATAGTCAATGACCAAGTAAGGGGGGGGGGTGCATCAGGGCAGTTCATGAAAGTTTGTCAGTGACTATCTTGTATAATGTCTATTCATGTATCACGAATGTTTGGCGTGTTCCTACTTCGCATGATCGTCAGTGAACAGGTAACACGTATGTTTTTCATTGCATAAGGGGAATGTCTGTATAGTCACATCGCAAAACAAAAGTGACCGTGACACCAGGTTATGGTCAAGTTCTATGCAATTTGGTCCAACATTATGCCCAGTAAATGCCTCCCCCATTTTAAAACAGTTTAGCAACGCCCCTGATTAACCTATAGGCAACCACTCTCAAACATAATGGCCCGAATTCACAAAGGAGGTTTGTCGACAAACCTCCTTTTGTTTCGACAAACCTCTTTTTGTTATTTACAAACCAGGTTTGTAAAAAACGCGTCAAACGCGTCATAATTATGACGTACATAAACCTCGGTTTGTCGACAAACCTCTTTTGTGAATTCGGGCCAATGAGATCATCTCAGAAATCTGAGATTAGTTCAGAAAAACCTCTTGAAGTGTCCAGTTGTTCAGACCAAGTTCTACGAGGAGTGGTCATTTACTTATGCTGCCCCTGTACTTTGACCACTAGTCCATTATGAAGGAAGAATCCACAGGTTATAAGTTCGAAACTCTCCTTAAAACATACTTGTTTAAATAGAGTTTTGACTGAGTTACAGTTACAGTTACAGCATCTATAGCAGAAAATACATCCAAAGAAAATTGTGCATGATTGAATATTCCCTCTTTTTCCAAGTTCATGTTCCCTCAAGTTTATTGCTTAAACAAAAATGATTTTTTTTTTTTTTAGTTTCAATTATAAGTGAACCGGTGTTAACGGAAGGCTCGTTGTTATCTCATTCTTTTGGCGTGTGTGGAAGTGGTGCACTATATTATGCCCAGATTTTGTGGTTTATTTTTTCCTGGTTCATGATCCCTGGATGCTATTGTTATCTTCATAAACCGCCCTACTTTCTGCATGTGATATTTTCAGACATGAATCACGTGATCATTATGTCAAGTTGGACTTTGCCCCTTAAAGTTGCTAGGTCACTGAAAGGAGGGCATGTTAAAGGGATTTGTTCAGATGAGAGAAAATTGTGCTAAGGTAGTGACATCAATGCCAGATGTACAATATTAAAGATAATCTGAAAGTTTGAGTGATAACAAACCATTATTGATAATAACAATTGGAAATAACTGATCTGATTGATTCCTAAATTCTTCCAACTATATCATTACAATTAAATTAACTTTAACGTGACTGTAAATCGTCAAAAAGCGATGAATTTGCTTTGTATACCATTCCAAACATTTAAGTGTTGTAATAGTTTAAAAGGCCTGTTTTATGTCTTATTTTCATGGAAAAACGGTTGAGAGCATACAAAAATTGGTTGGGAGAATTTAATGTTATAGAGGGAGTTACACATAACGCCTTCAAATTAAACCATAAATATCTTTTAAGGATTGTTTGCATGTTAGAGGGTAAGTACAGTAGAAGGGATATAATAAGTATCATTTCATACAAAAATTAGGCATTTTTTCATCAACCTTCAACAATGTTACCGGTTCACTTTAAACAAGGCGCCTTGGCGAGTTTTAGCAACTCGCCTGCCCTCTCGTCTTAAACATCGTATAATAATAATAATAATATTTAATTTTTATATAGCGCTTAATACAAATGTCTCTAAGCGCTTTACAAATATACTATTACCCCGGTCATTGGATTCAGTGCTTGCTCGCACACACTGTGTGCACAATCTCCGCTCCCTGGGGAGCATTCCCGCCGGGCGTTACTTGACGTATAAGGAAAATACCCCCTCGACAATTACTGCCTGGAAAATTACCCCCCGAAAGATTACCCCTCGAGGACAACCACCACCGAGGTCAATGATATTATTACCCCCACGGTAAATTACCCCCTTGGCCCTCGGAAAATGACCTCCTTGGACAATTATTACTCCCCGAGAACAATGACCCCTACCCCTGAACATTACCAGCACCCCGATAATTACCCCCTGTCCATTAAAGGGGAAGTTCTCCCTGAGAATAAGTTGGTTTTAATAAAAGCAGTTTTTTTTCTGGAGGTAATATTTGTCCTCGGGGGAGAGGGGGGGGGGTAAGGGTAATTTTATGGGGGTAGGAGAGGGATCATAATTGTTTAAATCACATAACATTTGTGACATTTTATGTTATACTCATGTTTAATTATATTTTTCTCGACCTCTGGGATAAACAGAGCCATTATTATTATATTTAGGCTCTAAATAGAGCAATCCGATCGTCTTTTGGACTGTGATTTGTAATATGTTTATGAACCATTGTACATTATGTTTAGGAACATAATAACTTTTTAGAAACAATAATACCAACCAACCGACCAACCAGCGCCAACCTATGTTTGTGGAACCAAGTCGATGCCATGTTTTCTATTTTTGTTCTTTCCATGACCCATCCTAGTTCTTGCGCCTGAAATGTTCAGACGGGTCGAGTGGTATAGATTTAAACTTTGCCCCAGACTATTGATAATTCATGCCATCTGTGGCATTTCCAATGATTGTGTTTTGGCAAATACAATAAGGAGGTTGGAGGGTTCTATACAAATGTCATTGACAGCAAGCGTGGATTACTTTTGTCCCGACAACATAAATTGTCAACAAAATCCTGATCCTGATAGTTCACCTTGAAAAGTAAACAATAGTCTCGACACGCAGATACAGAATAATCTCA